CCCCCCCCCCCCCCCTGGGCGCGGAGTATGCATAAAGCATTCCTCTTTGGAAAAAAAGGTCTATATTGTGATGAATGGAATGCTATAAAGGTGTCACGATGGAGGAGGCAGTGACAACCGAAATGACGGAAGATATATTGATATGGAGGACGAAAACTGGTGCATCTACCCTACGTGTGGGTTAAGGAGAGCGATATAACATAGTTTTATAGATTAGAAAAGAAACTATTTCAGTATAATTTGAATATTAGATAGTTTAATTGCAATCAAAGATAAAGTATGCAAGGTATTATAACAGTTAAACTAAGGTTTGTAATTCCATTCAAAATGAATTTAATTTTCCATTGAAAATAGCCAAGTCTGCCAGATTGCTCAGATTTATGCAAGCGTATTTTAAGTAGTTGAATTCTAAGATCCCCTTTCCACTTAGCGAATAACTGCGCGACTCTGGCTTCGACTGCAATTCTATAGTACTTGCTGCCGCTACAGTGGAAATGGTATTTACTTTGCTTGTAAATGAGCATGAAATCATTATCATGAAAGTGGATTGCAAACGATAGAATAATGTGTAAAAAGTTTTTGTGAAAGAAGGTAGTGAATTCACAAAAAAAAACGGCTACGTTAGTCTTACACATTTTTTATATTATAAAATATTAGCAGATTTTTTTGGAAATTTACTAATATTTCTTTTACCATTCCAACTAAGCTCTAGGCTTGTGCTAGGATATGGTTTAAGACAATAGTCGAATGGCGGGATTCGAACCCCCGACCTCGTGATCGGAAATCCGTATTCTTAACCATTAGGCTATTGACGCTTTGATTATTCTGAACTTACGTAGGGATACGGGAAGAAAGAGAACAAAGCTCGCGGTCGTAGCGCGGATAGTTGCACTGATGGAAATGGACTCTTAATAGTTGCATTCTAATGAGTTCGCCCAGTTCTCTTGTAGAGAAACTCTTTGAAATTATTCCCCTAGGTTTTTGTTTTTCTAATCGACCGAACTTTGTGGGCAACACATACATTAATTCTATAATTTTATTTGTTCCATCCACAGTTAAAAAAAAATCGTTTAAGTTTATGGCCTAAAGGTATTTCGCTAATTTTTATACTCGATAAGAAAGCTGCTATATATACCGCGTTTTCTCAAAACGAACTTTGAATTTATTTACTTAAAATAAATAAAATTTTATCTTTCTAATATGAATTTGTATAAGAATTGTCAAATATTTATGTTAATCAATAGGTTTATTAGTTTGTACATATTATAAGCTTTATTAAATAGTATTTTTAATGATAGTAAATTTTACAGTTTTACAGTTACAGTCGTTGTTTCCAGTTTACAATGTCTAGTATAGTCACAAACTGATAATGCTTACGATTTTACGATGCTATATAAATCGATGAGGTTTTTGCTTTATGTGGATAAAACATAAAGGTATTTTAGATTTGCACGGATATTGTCGTATGACACGCGATATTGTCCTACTTTTATTACAAAATCTAATGCAGCCGGTTCTTATCTTGATACGAAATTGTAATAGAAATGAAATTGTTATGTCGAATGCAATATTTATTTCTATAAAAATGCAATTTAGTTACTTAAGCCATACTAAATATGTGTAGTATGAAATCATTGGGACATGCTGTGTCTTATATATTAGCTGTCGACCGAGACTCCGTCCACGCGGAATTAAAAAAAACTATTGGTCGCAGTGTAATGTTATATAGCCTTAAGCCTGCCTCTATAAATGGACTATCCAACAAAAAAAGAATTTTTCAAATCGGACCAGAAGTTCCTGAGATTAGCGCGTTTAAACAAACAAACAGACAATCTCTTCTTTATTATATAAGTATAGATTATCATTATCTCCATGGCTTTATTCCACTTACGTAGGGTCAGCGCACACGGTTTTATAAACCTTAATTTTTTAATTTATTTTTTTATAACTATGTCTGCCTGTCGGCAACCCTACGTAGGAGGAATGTATTATAAAAGTTATAATTATAAAATCTCATGTACTACAATATTTTTCAAATAAGTATGTACCCGGCTTTTAAATTCTAAATCAGTGTTGACGAACCTTTTACGTATCGTGGTCTATTCTCTAAAGGAATGTTTAGTAAGGTTAAACGTTATCAAATAATATCTTTTTCACACTTTTCGTAGAACATACCTAATAAATGTATAAACAAATAAAAAATCGCAATTCTCATATTGTTATCCTTTTCATTCTCTATGACAAATCAGACTCTACAATACGTATTGATCCAATGTCACGGCAGTGAGATTCTACGGTAAGGGAGCATTCATCAGAGCTTCAATAATACGTTTAATGTATTCCATTAAGATGTCTGAGCAGAATATCGTTCGCACTTCGATAGTTTCCAGTGCTGAAAGCTCCTTTAATTATGAATGTGTAGGCGTATTGTTTCTTTGCATTTCCTTCTAATAAGTGTACGGTCCAAAGACATTTTTTTTCGTCAACAATTTTATTTACTTATACGATGGTATGTATCGTTATATTTTCTTTGGTTCTTTTATTAAGATTTTTGTTGTATATAATCATGGATAACACTAAGACAAAGATTTCAAAACAGTTTTCCTTACGTCTGACTTATTAGGAAGCAAAGAAATAGTTATTTGCTCGTCCTATAGAGTTTACCTTAGCATTTGTGTGACTTAATATTACATATCGATTTCACTGGCGTAACTAATAAAATATATTTTGTCTTTATTTTTATAATGAAAAATAAGGGAGATGACTATATGTTATATACAATTGTGTCGACAATGAATACACAGTAAAGCTGAAAAGTAAATTGAGTTCCATTTTCAAAAACCTTTGTCCTTAAGTTAAGATCCTAAGCATCATCTATGTCTATATAATCGCGGCAATACTTAAGTAATTTTGAGGGTTTAATGGGAGTCTTGAAAGCGGTCGTTAGATTAATATCTTAATCCCTACAACAAAAGGTACTCGTTAAATTATGTCTGTGAATGAAATCCCGATAAAATAGTTGTCTTGCAGATAATTTATAATTGTAAAAAGAACAGAACTGTTTTAGATATGTCACCGGCAGATTGTTAAGTTAATTATTTTGTTATAAGACTAGGCTTTTAAAAATAATCTCGACAGTGTATAAATTTTAAAATGATACGTACTTTAAATGAACATTTAAATTAACAATTTAAGCGCACTAAAGCACATTTATTCAACAAATATTATCATCATCATCAACCTGCCCTTATCCCTATCGAGGGTCGGCACAGCATGTACTACTCCTCCATACATCTCTATCAGCCGTCATATCCGAGTCTACACATGTCCATTCAACAAATATTATAATACATAAAAATAAATCGTTTAAAAAAATTATAAATTAATTAGAACAACAATATGATATTATATTTTAACTAGCGTTCGTCTTCGACTTTGTCAGCACAGAATTAAAAAAGTAGCATGTGATATGCATCAACTTTCCTGTCATAGTCCCGTCAAAATCGGTCCAGCCGTTTCAGAGATTACTCGAACCAAGCGCGAACTTTTAGACACACGTAGAGACAGACAGACAAAAATTTTTTAAGTTAGTTTTTCGTTACAACAACGCAAACACATCATGTGTCCAGAATGTAATATTTCTAATATTT